CCCCCCCTCTACAGGCCGCCGAGGTCCTAGAAATCGGGTCAGATGGCCATGTAGTTAAGACGATAATAGTACTAGTGCTAATTGTAAGAGCTGGCGATTGCTGCCAGGACTTATTACGCGATGTCTAACTTGTTTCTTTGAAGATTGTTTCCAAAACATCAGCTTTTTAACGGGCGTCTAGAACTAGAAGGTAAAGTCCCAAACTTGCCTGTTTTCTGAGTGACGGGGTCAGATGACTTTGATAAACGCAGGTTACCACCTCAGCCGACTTCTCGCTGTATTTTGGGCAGGTGTTTCCTTGGTAGTGGCGGAACAAAACTCCACATTTTCAGGTTTTTCGGCAGCGATTCGAGCTCGATCAGAGCTCGATTTGAGCACGATTAGGGTTAGAGTAAAGGTTAGGGGTTAGGATTAGGGTTATGGTTAGGGTCAGAGGTTAGGGTAAGTGTTACGGTAAGGGTTAGGGTAAAGGTAAGAGTATGGGTCAAAGTTAGGGTAAGGGTTAGGGTAAGGGTGAGGGTTAGGGCTAGGGTTAGGTTCAGTGTGGGATAGTGATATCTTATGTAAAAAGCCCGAAGTTTCTGCTTAGTATTACAAAAAGTCTTCGATGTAAAAAGCCCGAAGTTTCTGCTTAATATTACAAAAAGTCTTCAAAAAATTCATTATTACTGGGTTTTGGGCAAAGGAGAGTTTTCGGAATAAAATTCCACATTTCCCAGTTTTTCGACAGCGATTCGTGCTCGATTCGAGCTTGATTTTTTTATGCGCCTTTTTTCGATTTGATCGCGCCAACGCCGTCGTCGGGCCTATAGCCACCGTATTAAATTATTTCAACAAAATTTTACGACTTTTTTTATTATTTTCACAAAATCCTTTTTGGTAAATCAGTTTTATCAACTTAAAAAAACCTTCTCACGGTTACCTTATGAAAACAACCTACGGCTCGTTGTATCCACGACCACTATCAAGGAAACTCCTGCCGTATTTTGTTTGTCTCCCTGTCTCCATAAATTAAGCCAAAATAGGCGCAAAATGTTGATTCTTTGTAGTAGGGAGGGGAGTTGGCACATATGAATAATTTATTCAACCCAATTGTGAACAGCTCACGGCACCCAGTGCGCGTCTCGCAGCTCATTTGGCTAGAGCGTTGGTCATACTAAAGCCTTCCTGTTGCTGGAATGGGCTTAAATTCGAAAGAGGCCTCCGAGTTTTAAAAAATTTGAGTCAAAAATAGTACGGCTAACTGCGGTATGCCTGCGAGCCTATTTACAGCAGTCAAGCAAGCACGAAAATTGTTTCATTGAAGCCATATTGATGGTTTTTAAGTGAAGTTTCCTGTTCACTCATAGGACTGGCGTCGCCTGGCTGTCTTGGTGAAGGAGTATTTAAAATGTCTGCAGCTATCCATTCTCTGCAAAGACGTAATCTGCAACAGTCTTAAGGAGACTCCTGGGTAGGAAACGCCCAATGGGACATGAGAATAGAAACTGTCTATTATCCAAAAGCAATTATTGTTAGGTTTAAACCTAGGATTTAGCTGAAGGATTAGTGTCAAGGGTACTGGACTATGCACCTCTCCCTTGTACTATATGTGCTGCGTCCCCCCGTGTATTCAATCATTATCCACAGGAGTACTTAAAGATTATTTTCGCTGTGGTATAGGAGAACGGCCGGGCATATCGTTGCTTCGTGATAGGACCGATGCCTGGATATATTGTACCCCGACGGCAGATGCTTTGTCGTGCTCTTTTGTGGGAACTTTTACCGTTAACATATATTTTTGCAAGTATTACCATGTTTAGCTTGACAAGTCTATTTGGCAGACGTTTGCTTTCGGCAATTCATTATCGGACCTGTACAATTGCAGTGATAATTAAAGTAGAAGACTGGGACAGGCCCTCCCACTTCCGTGGCCGACGCCAGGTGGCGATCACGTGTCGCCACTACGTCCTGGTGACATTTGTTCACTCCGTGCACATGATAGGATATTTCACTCCGCGTAGTCTACCCATGACCAACACTCACAGTCTACTTTATTCTCTCCCCCCAGTGTAATGCCTTCTACATGCCGAGCTTGTCATACAGGCGGTGTGAAAACGATTTGTTTTTATCATAAGACATGTATTAACCCTGTCCAACTCTCAAAAACCTCTGTTTGTCAAATAGACTTTTCCCGTTAAACATATGTTTCCTGACGACTGACCTCGAATGTGTAGGGGACTGGTTGAACTTACACCTCGCAGCCTTGCACCTTGCCCTGACGGACATCTCCTCTCTGCTCCCCTTTAAGGATATTACCAGTCCGAATGCTAGCAGGTTCCTCCCGACCGACCAACTGCCGAATTCTGGCGACGCGGAGTGCTGTTACCCACTGAAGGAGGAGGGCTACCGTTCGCTGCTATCCTCCGCCAGCGGTGGTCTCCTCAGCTTCCCCGTGGCCTACATGCTCGTCATCCTGTTTGGCAGGCGTTGGTCCATCAGTGTCTCCTTCGCTGCGGTGGCCATCCTCCTCTTCGTTGAGGTATGTCTCCTGTTTCAGACTGCTAACTGTATCCTCACATGTGTCTCCAGTTTACCCTCCTGTTTGAGGTTTCTGCTTTTGAAAGACGGAGGGTGGCTGGAATAAATCGTAAGGCTACCAAATGATAATAGGAGTTGCTCTAATAATTCTCTTGGTCTGTAGGCTTCTTTTTGTTAACCAATACAGTCGGTCCTATAGTTTTCTTGGTCTATAGACTTCCCCTGCTAACCAATAGGAGTCTAGGTAGAGGAGGAGAAAAAGAAGAAAAAGAAAAAAAGAAGAAGAACAAGGCATGACTATCACAATCGTGGTTTAATTTGTGTGAGCCTTCTTACATTTACTGGAGTCTATCTTCAGAGCTAAAAGTGTAAATGAAAGCAAGCTCTAGCGATGGACGCCAGTAAGCGTTCGAAAGCTCGGACGAATAAAACCATGATTCCGGTGATCGACATGTCTTCTTCCTCTCTTCCTATACACTCATCTGGGATGCAAATATTCGCCTCAGTACGAGTTTCCTTAGTCCTTTTTGTTCTTTTCGCAAACTTTTTACGTACATTTTAGTTCAGTTAAACAATTAGAAGCGGTTTTATCTTATGTCCTACTGTGCACTTATCATGCATTAAACATGCATTAGCTGTTCATTAATCAAGCATCAATCGGTTCATCGCGAATTCCATCAGATACTTGAGTTAGGAGAATTTTATCATTGGGCGGCCATAAGATTTACTCCTACCCAGAGAACAAAGTTTGCGCTCTGGATTGCATATGCAGAGTAGTTGTGTAGTGAATGGTACTGCAGGGCATTTCGTCTTTATTATAATTGTCTATTAATAGGCAATGCATCACCTACTTCTGTTACCATGACTCCGTTCATTGCTAATCAGTTACCAACCTGTGCTACCGCTACGGTAAATAATTACATGAGTTCTGACAGTCGAATAAGTTCTTCCGTTATCTTCAAACTCTATTACGAACAATAGACCTTACGTATAGAAAAAAACGCCGTTGTACAACTGGTATGTGTTGACGGGCGTAAAATGGAGTAAAAAATCCCTAGTCGATTTTTTATCAACATTTTAAGCTCCAGTATGCTGTCTACTTGCACATCGAATTTCAATGATGTAACTTCCAGCTAGGAATTTTTAATTTTCCCTTATTTGGATAAAGAAGACGGGGAGGACATGTCGATAATCGGAATTGTGAATTTATTCGTCTGAGCTTTCGAACTCTTACTGAAGTTCATCGTCAGAGATAAACGCGTCAACGAAAAACAGGTGACAGTTTAAGGGAGCGGGGGCCAACCAACCTCCAGTGACGTCAGTCCGGGGATGCCTCCGCATGGTTATGTATGACGGGGCCAGATCGATATACCGATTCAGCGAGTTCTCTTTTGAGGGCCAAGCTTCAATCAATTCAGCTCAGACGAAATAAAT